AATTACTCAAATAACAATATAATTTACTAGGTTACAATATAAGCTAACAGATTGTCTTCATTCAGAATTGATTTTCATTAAATTTATCATTAAATTCAAATTTACATACTGTACAGTGACTTAGGTACTCATCGATTTAAAGGTATATCCAGAATTACTCTACAGCAGAACAAGTCAAGTTTCATCAAATCAAGAACTGTTTCCTCTTTTTGTTTTGTAGGAGTAGATAAATGACATAAATCTTAAACACAGAGTGGTAAAAGGTTGAAAAAGCTGGTACTTTAGAACTTTGAATTAAAAAATAATAGGAAAAAAACGGAAATATTCAGCAACACCAGTTCTGGAGAATTTGGTTTGATTAATATTTAATATATATAATATATATATATATATTATGGTTAATTTACGATGAAGGTAACACAAAATATTTCGAACCCACAATCCAGAATTTCATTTGGGATTTTATTTTACCAGAGGAAAGATTAGATACACATATTTTGAAAAAATGTTATGCAAATGCGCATTCATGTTATCATAATGCACTCCGTTTTTTTAAGTTTGAATTTAAACTACTTTAATATTTTCAAGCAACTAATAAAGTTTTCTTCTACACTATTATTAAGTGAGTTTAAATTTTAGATTTGTTTAGGTTATTATCCAAAATTGTACACTACGCACTGAACCTATGAAWAAATAATTTAATCACACGAAGTCTTCCGTAAAAGACAGCCGACGATAATTTTATATAAATAATGTTAGTTGAACTTTGGTAGATTGAATATGTCAGCGTACCATAATGTATACAAATCTAAGTACCTATAATCAATAATACAATTTAATAAAAATAATACTGCAGTTTTTTCTCGTAAGAATAACACTAAAAAAATTCAATTTATAAGAATTTTGATTGCCCAATGACTAAGTATCATAAATATTACATCCTCGAAAATACAACTAGAGTACCTCTGAAAATTATTGTACGTTCATAAAAGTTTAAACAATTCACTGTCTTAAAGCAATATAACAGTACTTCTCAGATAAGACTGTACACTTATTATTATAGAAAAATTATTTTAAATTGTAATGTTCGTCAATAAAATACAAATAGTAAAATCCCTAATCAAAATAATAGTATAACGAATAAAATACATTTTGGTTATGTCATTATATTAATAACTTCCATATTACGAAATCACAAGGCCACCTTCAAAAAATAATCGAAATATAGAAATTTTATTTTAAATATTAGAATCTTCACTGTATTACCTATAATAACTTATACATTAAATTATAACCCATTATAAAATGTCACACAATAGTAGTGAAAAACTGATGTAAATCAGTATTTGAGACATGGGGTATTTATTTTATATATTTTTGGTGACAGGTTTCGTTTTTTTTTCTATACATAATCTTTAATTACAATTTTCTGGATATGAACAATTGGTCATTTACTATTTCTTTTTGAGTTTATATAACGACTTCATCGCGCGTAGTCGGTACACGTTGTGCGTATTGTTTCTTACAACACGTCGGCGGTGATGTCTGCTGTCTTAAGCCTTAACTGAAATCCTAAATTAGATACCAGTAACGGCAGTAACGATGGGTGTTACAATTCAGGTGGTACGTCTATTACCAGTTGCCATTTCATCGAACCATCTTAATTATCGATCGGACTGAGTATTGTATGTCAATATTTTGTAGATCGGAGTCCACACTTAATAAAAACCTAGGTTTTTTTAATTATAACATTTTTCAATTCAAAATGTATAAATCAAAATACATTTTTCAATTCAAAATGTATAAATCAAAATGCCACTTCAACTTCTAAAAATACAAACTACACGCGTGCCTGATGATTTAGTCTCCGATTGATTACTCGAACTGCTGCAAGAACTTGACGCCTGCACTGCTCCAACCTTCAGCGCGTAAGACGTTATTTAAATGCAATATACGAGTATCGAAGTATCTATTTTATAACAGTGCAATCATATTATTATGCACTTGAATTATGATTTCTGAAAATATTTTGATTTGACGTTAAACTATCGTTTTGCTGTGATGCCAATTTTATTATTACAAATATTAATTTGTAATAAAATATAACATCAAGTAGAAAGTTGAAAACACTGAGCCACAGTTTTTATTTAATATAAGTTGTTTTGATATAATACTATTTAAATAATAAAAAATGATTTTCCGCTATAATAATATAATATAMCTATAAGATAGATAGTGTAGTTTGAACGATGCAATTGAACCAATAATATTTATATTTTATCTATTAAAAATTCATAACATAATAGTCCATATCCTATATACATAACCTTCCTTAAATTAAAATGCTTGATTAAATTTTTTTGTGATTTTAAATAATAAATATAATCAAACACTTGAATAGGTATAATATTATAGTACTTTCAATAAAAAAAAACATTAGCTATTGCAGGTTAAAAGATGAAACGAGAAAAAGTATTGATATTTAAAATCAATATTGCAAGACCAAATGAAAATACTATTAGTTAATAGTATACTTTTTGTTTGTTTATTTTAATACTCAGGGTAAATCTTACATTTTTCAGCATACATACTGTGGATTTAAAGCCAGTGGTAACATATTTTTACCAAGTAAAAAATTAGAGTAATTACTTCAAATAAACATATTATGTTCATAAATTTATAATCTAACTAAAAGCTGTTTAATAACTCATATAGGAGTAATAGCTGAGTCTATATGGATGATATTTATAAATAAAACCTTAGTAATTATAGTGAGTTAATTACTAGCTACTACTGAATATTAAAATGCATTATACTTAACAACAAGGGAAATTTTATGTACTATATCTATCAGACTAAAAACTATTTTGAATTAGAAAAATAAAGGTTAGGCATATACCTAAATATATATAAAAAAACAAATTCATATAATTAATATATGCTGATTTGTACCTATGAATTGAGTTAGCTTACACGTAGTAAGAAACTATTCGATTGATATATATTAAATGTATTAAAATTGATAAAATTTTCAATTTAGAGAATGTTTGAAAATCACAAGTATAACCTTTATTTATAATTTTTTTATGTCTATGTATACCAATGTGATACCATGTATACCTAATTTTATAGTCATATTTGTGTAGATGGTTTACAATAAATTACCTCATCCATAATTGATGTTAGTTTCTATGCATTTTAACTTGAGTAGAACAGTAGAATTGGTTATTGCTTATTACTTGTTAGTTGTTAGTCATTTATGTGTTCTAAATCGAATCGTAATACTTGGTAGAACTACACCTCAATTAAAAATTAGTCATCATTTCATCAGTTAATAATATAAATAACCAAATGATTGTTTAAAAATATGAATAAAATTTATAATTATTATTTTATTAAATATTTACTAATGTTGTTTTTGAAACATTTATCATTGAGTATAGTAAATTATAAATTGATTAAGGAAAAAAATATTGATAATAGAGAACAATTTGAACACAAACCAATATTAAAATTTTATCTAATTTATATAAAAACAAAAAAATGTATATAATCTTTAATCAAAAGAATGTTTGAAAATCACAAGTTTAACTAATTTAATAGCACAATGAAAATAAGTAACTATTTTTAGGCAAGAATCCACTTAATGCACAAAATCACAAGAGAAAATTAATAACAACTTTATTTGTTAAATGAAAAAAGTAGATATGTATTGTATTAATATATTTAATATTTTAAAACCTAAGTAGATGTTTGTCATTTTTAAAACCATAAAATGTCTAATAATATACATACAACGCACATTAAGAACATGATCAGTTGGCCATATAAAATCAGTATTATCCCATTTAATCAGTCTGTAGTACGTGGAGTATACGAACGAGATTTAAATCAATATTTCAAGTTACAAAATAGAAATTCGATAAAATAAACTTAACATTTCAATTTTAAAAATTGAATAATGTAACCATATATAAAATAATACAGTATTGTCTGTTAAACAATTAATTTTAACTTAGTTTTGTCACATACTCTAAATAAACAAAGAATATATCTAATATTTGGCTTAAAAATAAACTTCTTATTTCAAAAATGACAAACAAGTTTAAAAAAATTAAGATATTTAATTCTATCAGACATCAGCTATATTTTATTAATTTATTTATTTTTTAAATGGAAACCTTTATTTTGAATTTTCTATAAAATGTTCATGTTTATAGTTTTGTTAGGCAGGATAGCAAATCATGTTTATGTATATAGTTTACGATAATTGACCTATATCTATATTTTGATATTAGTTTCTATTCACTTAAGCCTAATATAGATTAATAGATTTGCTTATAAATGGAACTAAATTTAATTTCAATGTTTGAAATAGGTAGACCAAGAGCTTTTCTCTTTAATTAATTAATTAATACTCAAACAGGTAACCAAACACTTTTTATTAGATAGACACTAATATTGTATTAAGTGCTAAATATATATTTTTTATATTGGTTATACCAATAGAAACATTGATATTAGTTTCTATTCAAATAAATCTAATGTAGAATAGTAGAATAAGTTATTACTTATTAATGAGTACTAAATAGAATGATTGAAATAACTAGACCTCGATAAAAGGTTCGTCATTTTCAAACACTTTTTTATTTCTGAAAACAAGAATTTTTCAGTCAGAAATAACCAAAATAAAATTGTATGGCAATAATAATAATAACTTTATTAGGTAGGTACTAATATTGTTGTGGAAACATTTAACAGAGTAGATGCCTAAAAGTATATTCTCAATTAATTAAGAAGCGAATATTAGTAACACGGAATGATTTAAATACCAACTAAAAAACTTATGTTTACCAAACATAGTTTTTAGTTAAAAACATAACACTTAAATTATATATTTAATTTAAAAATAGGGAAGCTCTATTTAATAATGAGTATTTTATTGGGAGACCTTAAAATCTTTGTATATTGAATGAAGATGAAATAGTATTTTTAATTACCTTATTTGTCTTAATTGATATAATTTTTTATCTAAGTCGTCTTATCAAGCGTTGTATCCTGAGCAATAAATGGCGATGACTAAACGCCCAATTTGGCAAGTGTGTACGTCCAAATAAAATTAACTAGGATTTCTTAATGTTTGCTTTCTTACAGACTGCAGAAGTGTTGTTGTAGTAGTAGTAGTGGTATTGTAGCTGTAATCTTAGTAGTAGAAGTAGTACAGCAATAGTAGTAGAAGTGGGTATCTGTTGACCGTCATGCAGCATATACAACGGCAAGAGATATGTTCAATGCATGCGAGTTTCCAAAACAACTCTTAATCGGTACGAAATGATAATCAGAAACCAACAATTACTAAATAAACTGAAACACCAAAAACAAATATAAAATGGTTAGAGGATGTCAGTTAACCATTTGTTTACTGTTTCTGAACAGAGTAAATATCCATTTAGCAGAACCAACACTGTTATTTTTTTTAATATTAGAAAGAATTTACTACCTATTCAATTTTGAGTTTAGAACATAAACCTGTGTTACTACATTGTATTTTTTAAATTTAAATTTTTATGCAATTTAAAAGCATTTTTAAATTACAACTAGGTATTTACACACTAATAACTAACGTAAAAATTAAAATATCATAAAATAGTTAATGTAATGACACAGATAATGCACTTAACTCAGAGCTTGATATTAGGTTAGTTTACTCTCATATTAAATGTAACAGCATAGGATTGGTGCTGCTAATTTATTGAACATAAATAAGGTATGTTGCGCACCGAGCACTTGAGCATGGGTGATAGAAAAGAAATAGTAACCTAACCTCCTCAAATAATAATCAAAATAGATGAAACACAGCACAGATTTAATGATTATCGAACATAATAATACGTTAAGCAATGCGAAAAGTTAAAACAAAAAATAAATAATTCGCCTCCTAGGTAGTAGTTTGCCCGACCATGAGCTTATACGAAAAATGCGTAGGTTACGTAATAGCGCAAACAAAATATATTTTACCGAAAGCAAACAGTCAAACAATGTGACATCAACGACAAAAGAATTTTTTTAGGTCAAACGTGTGCATGCAATCGTATACGTACAAAGATCTACAAGAATCGTAGGTAGATGATCAATAAAACAAAATGTTATATTATATTAAAATATGGACGACGATAATCGTAGTACTATTTTTTAGAATACTTACCACTGAGTTGGAACGGACGCGGCAACGGCGCATAGAAAAATACGAGAAAAAAAACATGAAACGCCTCTGCGGTCGAGATAAAAATAATTAAGTTAGTATAAAATCAAAAAAAAAAATTAAATCAAATTAAATAAATTGAAATCAAATTCGCGTACACGCCGTAGAACGACGCGAGTGTCTCTTACAATGGCATTTTACAAACTATATTACTATAATAATATAATATTATAAATAATATGACATTATAATAATAATATTCTGTTTCGATTACGACAACAATGTTATCGCAGGTACGCGTCATGAACAAATGGTAAATGGTAATGCGCTCACTGGCGACTGGCGTCACTGCAACTAAAATGCGCGTAGTGCGTACCAAAACAACACGACCATGATGGCTGCGGTGCAGTGTGCGAACAGGGAAATTATGGCCGTTCGAATAATAGTAATAATAATAATAATAATAATAAATAATAATGATTGTCGGTAAACACGGCAGCTAAACACGTTGTATTGTAATTTATTATATACTATATAGTATTATTATGTACGTCGCATTATTATAGCGCGGTAACACGATCCCTGTTCGACGGGTGGTCGTACGTTGGGCCCGCGGTGTGGGGTGGGTCGATCGGTAGGCAGTGCGTCCGGTGGTCGGCGGGCTGGGGGTCCGGTGTGACCAACGCGATTTTGCGCGGCGATTGACGTCACGGGTCGCGATTTTATCATAGTATAATGAATTGTTTATTTATAAATAAAAAAGTTATTTATTAACATTGGAGAGCAAAGAGAGAAAAAGTCGAAAACCAGCAAGAAGAGAGAAAAAGAATTTTCTTCTCGCAGGCACGACGAACGGCGCTGTTGTTTTCCGTAATCCGTTTCTGGTTTCTCGCGCGCGCGCCGCTGCAGCTCTATAGTCTATTCCACTCTTGTATTTGCCCGTCTGCCGTGTATTTGCCGGCCCGTCTCTAATCCGTCTCCCATTCTGCCGTCGTCGTCGTCGTCGTCTTCTCAGTTCCGGATCTTCATCGCCACACTACGCGATACGAAGACTTCCTGGAGGCTGCTTACCTACCCATACTGACCGCTGTGGTCGCTTAAACGTTTTCGTTTGTGACACACTAGTGTTCCCGAGGCCTAAGGTGAGTGCGAGTGCAGTACATAATTTTGTGATATAGCTCGTCGCCACTCACAAAATCTCCGTCTCGGTCCCACAGAATTTAATTATAATATTATAACATGTATTTGCCATAAACGTGAAATGCCCGTAGTAAGTCACCTGCAGCTGCCTGTCCATAAAAATTAAAGTAGTCCCCCACTAATGTTGTTTAGTTCTAACACCTACGACCATATAGCAGGTACAGCATGTTGTCGTTATTATTATCGCGTGCGTTTGTTTGTTTTGTTTGTTCGGCGATCTGGCCGTTTCGCGTCTGGTGGATCTGCAGGTTCAAACAATGGCCGATCAGAGGTTCTGTTTGCGGTGGAACAACCACCAGCCTAACCTGGTCAACGTCATGACGGGCCTGTTGAACAGCGAGATGTTTGTGGACGCCACAATCGCCGCCGAAGGCCGGAAAATACAAGTGCACAAAGTCGTGTTGTCTGCATGCAGCAGTTATTTTCAAGTAAGATCCGAATTATCCTTGAATGAAAATCACGCCCATCAGTGGTAGACTGTCTATATTCTTGTTTCCTTTTTCTTGCTAATGATTACATCTAAACCAGTGAACGGATGTAGTTGTTCCTGGGGGTCTGTCGTCGATTGTCACCGTTAATGTTCAATGTGCAATGTGCAATGTGCAATGTGCAATGTATGTTATTGATGACCAATTTTTCTGTTGCTTCGGGCAGCCCGCATATGCCGTGTTATAAGTTTATGCTAACTGGATGCATTATTAGTTATGTACATGTTGTTGGTACTTCTTCAGGTCAAATAAACTCAGTCGTTATAATATTTGAATCAAGTCATTGGTAAATAACATAACATTACTCCAAACAGATATTATCAATAATACGTGAAAATCTCTGTAAATAATTAATTAATTAATGACACACTGTAGTGCGATAAACAGTCTGGTAAATTTTTAAACTACTATCATGTAGCAATTAATCTTTGATTTAATAATATTACTATTATAATCATGCACCTATAGAAGCTGCTACTTTGGTAGATATGTTATAAACGTGTCTTATTATTATATTTTGAATTATTTTATTATTATTGGTATTCAATAATTTTAATTACTAAAGCATTAATATATTATCTAGTACCTACCTACAAACAAATAAAACATCTTTGAGTGATACATTTTCAAAGTAAAAAACAACTGATAAGAAATTCTATTCAAACATATATATATATATATATATATTCAATATAATATAATAAAATGTAATATTATATATATTTGTATTACACAATATTGTTATTTTTTCTCTCAATGATGACTACTTTTTATTACTATCAGATACTGTGTGAAGATTAGGTATCTAAATATTAATATATCATTTTATATACATTTATTTGTTATGGTATTTATTGATTTATATTTTATTTTACCTATTATTAGTATAGGTATATATAAAATATATTATTATTTTTTGGAGATGTTATAGACTTATTTATTTATCAAGATGTTTGCATGATATTTGTTATTTCTGTGCAACAGACCCTTCTCTACTGTGGGCTCAAAATTCGGGGGGGAAAGTATTTGTGTAACCCTGGAAAAGGGTGGAGAATGCAGTTTTTAGTAAAAAATAAAAATATTAAAGAAATTATTTATTAGCTTAAACTTGTTAGTAGGGAACAGATTTTATCGTGATTACTTATTTTAGTTCTAGTCTAATAATATACATCTGGGTAAATAATTTTAATATAAGTAACAAATTAAACAAGTATATTATAAATTATGTTACACATATTTCCAAGTTAGTTGGAGCAAATAAACATTTTTAAATACATATTATTCATATTTATATTTATTTGGAGGGATTTTTCGTTGTGACGTGTTTTTAATTTTACTTTTTGTACTTTATTATCACACATTACTGTTCTTTTTTTGGCTTGTACATTGACTATAGAAATTTTATTCATTTATTTAAAAAAAATTATGTATATTTTCCCAAAGTAAAAATGCAGATACCTTTGTTAACTTATCATTTAGCTGAATATTTAAATATATTTTCTTATGAAATATTTCAAAATGATGTAAAAGTTATATATTCAAATTTTGTGAACAACAATGTTATCATTATCAATATGTCTATGCTTTCTAGCAAGTCAAAATATTTATACTTCCAAGTGGTGAAGAATATAAGGAGGTAGATGATAGTTACGTAGGTATCTAATGTAATTTATGGTAAATTGTTTCTAAAGAGTAGTACTTAAATTGTGAGTAGATAAATAAATGCATACATAAAACTAACAATTTAATGAAATTATTATAGCCTGAAGTCATTAAAGATGAAAATGTATTATTATTTTTATTCTGAATTTAATAAATTACAAATATTTGAATGCAAACCTATTTTTATTTATTTATTTCATTGTAAGTAATTACATACTTAGCCTTTTATTACTATAAAATCTGTTTTCTACCTATACAATTTTAATTTCAAATACAAATTCTTTATGAGTAAATATAGAAGTTGTAAGGCATTATATTAACAATTGGTAAATGTTGTTTTGCTTTGGACAGTTTGGCTACAAAATGAAAAGTGTAAAGTTTTATTTTGTTATAATAAGTGTGTGTGTGTGAACAATTTTAATGGAATTCAAATATGACTTCCTGATAAAAGGATCTCTTTTCGTTCCAACTTACTGAAAAATCTAATTAAACAATAAGGATTCCTAGCTTTATCTTCTTTAGATCCTATTAACAGCTTTTTTCTAACAAATATTCAACAGTTAAATGTTAATTACTTCTGAAGATAAATAAACATATAAGGTTGTTAGTAGGGTCGGAAATAAACATATATTTATGTCAGTTTTCCCATATCAAAATCATTTATGTGTTATATTGGTTTAATAAAATGAAAATTTATCAATTATACCTAATTATTATTACGTATACAGAACCTCTTACAAATGAATTGTTTCAAATCCATGAAACAGATCATTTGAAATACAATTTATGAATTTTATCTGAACTTGTGTTATAAAAATAATTTCATTTTATCTTTAAATCAAATGTGTATTTACTATTATAGATGCTTTTCAATGAAACACCTTGTCAACATCCAATAATCATCATCAAAGACATGTCTTATAATCATTTAAAAACATTAATTGAATTTATGTATTATGGCGAAGTTAACATCTCTCAAGATCAACTCCCAATTATTTTAAAAGTAAATTATATTTTATTTATTGTATTTTATTAATTAAATACTATTAATCAAAATATTTTTTAAGGCAGCAGAAAGCTTACAAATAAAAGGGTTGACAGAGAAAACCATGTTTCCATTTGCTACAACACGACATGCAGAAACTGAATATAGTTTGTTATCACCCTCGGCAAAACGAAAAAAAATGCATCTCATGAAAACATCCAGTGATAAATCTGAACATAACAGTTCTATCGAAGATATATCAGTAACTGAACAAGATAATATGTCAACTGTACGAATTGATTAATATAAAGTTAATAGATTTTGTGAACGTATATTCATATATTATTTATTAATTTTTTTACAGAGATCTCAACCTACATCACAAGGACAAGAAACATCAAAACCTATTAGTAGTGTAAGCAAACAATCTTCTACAGATAATCATTCAACAATTGTTCATCACAAACCAGAAGGTATGTTTAATCATAATTAATAACAAGACTTTTGTAGTTTGGTACTTATTTACTGTTTATAAATTAGTTTAAGTTTAATACGCAATTTATTTTTGTAAGTTTTGATTCTGTTTTGTATTTAGTTCAAAATTTTAATGAAAGCATTATTTATATCTCAAAAATAAATGTATATAAAAAAAKCATGTTCTTTTTCACTTATTATACAGTTTTGTAGGATAATGATTATTTTTGCTAAGTGAATCCAAAATATGAGTAACTATTTAGATGAGTGAATAGTTTCAAAAACGTTCAACCTGTAAAATGCTCTCTTTAAAAAGTTGCTTAATTGCATAATAAAATATATCTTAAAATGTATTTCTTCTTGAAAATTTAATATTTGTGTCTTCTTTTCTTTCAATTTTAAATATCTTATATTACCAGAAGTTTTTATTACAAATTACAACATTTGCTAACAGGTTGGTCGTTTTTGGAGCAGCTCTCTGATTGCCCGCCTCACAGTGTCTACGCCATACCCAAAGCCAAAGCAGTATCCAAACCAGAGAATAAAGTACGCAAAAAACGAGAACCCGGCATACGGGAGAGTGATCGTTTTAAAGAAGCTCTTGAAGCTGTACGTGTGGGCCGTATGGGATTTTGTCGTGCTGCTCAAGAGTATGGAATAAATAACCGTACCTTGTGGCTCGAGTACAAAAAAAAAGGTTATCCTGTTCATCGAAAAGGTCAGTCTTCATCGTCTATTCCAGTACCCTCGCCAGCATCATCAATCAATGGTCAATCATCGGAACAAGTGTATCAAGCACCACTGTATGAACCTTCAACATCTCAAACTTCGGCAGTTGATCATCCTGCTTATGTTTCACAAATGTATTCACAGCCTCTGACAGTGATTAACCCATGCTATTATTCTTCACCAGCACCTTCAATATTTTCAACAGACAACCATACATAAATAACTGATTAATTTAATTATTAAAAAATCATATTTTTATTTTGTTTCCTTTTATTTTAGTTGATAATTTCACTCATGCTGGTTTGCACAAATAGTTTATAATTATAATTTAACGATTCATTAATATTTGATGACACATCACAGTCATCACAGTTCATTTTTTATTATGTTTAAGGGATTGTTAAGTATTTAATGACTCGTTAAACCTCTGAAACAGATGATTGTGCAATCTGGTGTTAAACTTAAATTATTTATTTGTATAGAAATTAAAATTATAATATATTATTAGGTTTAATTTGATTTGTATAACAAAACTATTTTTAAATGTAATGTACATCGAAATATAACTATTGTATTTTGTATTTCCGTTGTGTTTATTTACCTTGAATTTAATAAACAATGATAATAATAATGAGTAAAATCAATAGTGCTATCAATTAAATATTAAAAATGGATATTTTAATTTTCCAGTTAATAAACGAGTTAGGACTCTAGTACGGCAACCCCATATAAAAATCAATGATAGTGACTTGAGTACAGATACATCAATGATAATAAATGAAACAAATGATGATTCTGAACCTGTAATCCGAGTGCTTGAGAGGCAGTGTTCAGAGCCAAATCCGTCTTCAACCAACACACTAGCTGTTCCTAAACCAACSATAGTCAAACAAATTTCGCAGCCATCTGAACCTAGTCTAACAGCCAAGGGCTTCTTCAACGATGATTTGCCCACTAGTGCATCACAGGTAATCTACACATTTTATACAAATATTTTTTATGTGTATTAGCATGATATTGTAAATGCAATGATAGTTACTGAGTTATTGGACAATATAAACTGTATTATAGGTAAATACAAATGATTCTTATAACGGATCAACACGATCTGACCACTGCCCATTGTTACGTTCGGGACCAGCTCTTGGATGCAGTTTCTGTTGGAACACAATAGATACCCGTGGAAGGTTCTTGAGACGCAAAACTAAATATCACTGCCCTGAATGTAATATAAACCTTTGCTTGGTTCCTTGTTTTCAGGTGATTATTTATTTTATTTTGATACAATCATTTAAGAATATACTAACTTAATCTCTTCAGGAAAGGCCATACGTGCTCATGTTGTTTTATTTTTTGAAAACAAATATAACATTGGCAAGTTTGAATTTTGAATTGAGTAATCAATTAAATCAATTAAAAATTAATAACAAACATTTTTTATTTCATTTCTTGTATTAACAATCTGTTATATAATGAAATTGAACAATAAGTGAATAAAATAAGTGGCTTGAAAAAATAACAGATTTAAGAAGCCTTCCAGTGAAGACACTTTGTCAATTGACTTATATACATTTTCATGAGTACAATAAAATTATAAATACAATTGGGTAATTAACTAAATTAATTTGTCCCAACACCATTGCCTTTTTTTTATCATTTCCAGGATTGTCGGGTATATTCACTGACGCAAGTCTTTTGATTAAAAAATTAGTGTGGCTACACATAAGTTTATGACAAATTACATTTTTTATTTATCATTATTTACTTTTAATCCATAATATTTTGTCTTTTCTTAACTGATTTTGCACAACATAATAAGTATTTAATTATTTTAACTATTCTGCATTTTTGACTAATTATAACATATTATTATTAATCTTCATAGGCGAACGCGAAACTATGGGACCTTTTATTGATTTAATAAAATTTAAAATTTAAAACTTATTTTTTAATTAGTATTATAGTCCCAATAATATATTCTAGTTTCACTTATGGTGATAATAATAATACTTTTTTTAAGACAAAAAAAAAAAAAAAAAAAATGCATTTTGTATAATTTGGATAACATTTATTTTTTTCAATATTTAGGAGTTTCACGAAAAACAAATTCAAACAAAATCTACTGATATTCTTACAACAGATCATCCTCGAACTCAAAAGATACCAGATGACATAGCAGAATAATTTTTTCCTGTGATTATCAATTTGTTATAACCTAAGATAACTAACAAAGTGTTACCATTTGTTACTACTTAAGAATTTGTTCTGATTTTATTTTAGTCTAGAACAAAATAATACTAGTTATATAATATTATAGACATTATTTTTTTTGTGTTCAAGATTGTAATTTTTTTTAAATTGAAAAATATACTGATAATTTTGAAAATATATAATGATGCAGATCACAATTATTGATATTACCTAACTATCTTTACCTCATTTAACATTTCACACATGATTTCATTGTAATTACACGAATTCTAACCACTATCAGTTAACATTACCATAAAGAATTAAAACACAGTCTGTTTGAAGAGAGTGCCTTGGAGACCAACTTCTTCAAGCTTCATTTTGTTGCTAAGATTAGATTAGGTGGGTGATGAGTGTAACTGCCGCCAACAAAAACTGGTCTCCGAAGTACGTTGTGAATTTGAAGTCTCTAGGTTTAATTTTTTAACATATTCATCAAATTTATTTCAGTACCCAAGAATTTTTCAATACAAAAGAAAAAACGTTAAACTTATTTAAAATTTTCTACATTCTATCGTTATTCACGATTAGGATCAAACATGTTTTCATGTTTCTATATTATGATAAATGACACTATGACATCATGAAACAATTCTATCAATAGTTTTATGTTTAAATGAAAATTTAGACCCTGAATCACTAATTTATTACCAAAACAATAAAATAAAAATGTAATTAATATCAACAAGTCGAAATTATTATTTTATGCTGTCTAGGTACCCGGGTGCTCCGTAAGTTGATAGCAAACTTAAACTACAATAATTCATTAATATTAAATGAAAATTATGCCTGATGCATTATTTTAATTGACTTGAAACGGCTTTTCACATGTATACATTTTTCTAAAATGTTTCTATAAGTTATATGTATCAGAATAAGAGAATATTAGTAGTAAATAAGAATGCATACTGATTGTAATGTGCTTACATTCCCACTACCATTAATGGCTTCAATGACATAGATGTCCATGTATGAATTGGTAGTTATTACTTGTCAAGTTTTGATTTCAGTTGAGTAGAAGACACAATATCTACACATTTGTAAAACACTAATATAGCGTTGTATGAATATTTTATATGTGTTAAACATTAATTGTAATTGATCTCAAATCCCATAGTTCACAAAGGGCTTATAAGATACCCTTATTCTAACTTTAATGACACTGGTAAAAATTTTTAATTTTAAGTAGGAGAAGATCAGATCCTTTTTAAGAATATAGTGATTGACACATAGAACCGTGTAGTAATCAACAACAAAATATTCATCTCTATATAAATTAACCACATCAACAAAATATCCGAGAAGTATTTAAGAAGACGTAATATCCACATGTGTTGTCTCCGTCTTACAAGTACATAACATACGAAATGTTATGCTCACTCAGCAGATCACATTAAGCTCCATTAGTTTAAGAATAAGAGTGAATTTACCTTTTATAAAATTTAAAGGTAAGAATATTATTTAGATAACTTCATAGAGTTTTTACTGTATTTCAATATTGAAGCGAGTTATACGTATTTTAAAATGTGCAAATTATTTACAATTTTAAAATACTTATAACTCGCTTCAAAATTGAAATATAGTAAAAACTCCAGGAGGTTATCTAAATAATATTCTTACCTTTAAATTTTATAAAAGGTCAATTCGCTCTTCTTCTCTTAAACTAATGGAACTAAACGTGATCTGCTGAGCGTAAACAATTTGCCATGTTGCGCACTTGAAAGATGGAGAAAACACTTGTGGGCATCACGTTCTCTTAAGGATTTAAGGAAGTGTATAATAAACAACATTTTTTAATAAAATAAAAATTAAAAACTTGTTTTGTTTTAGTTCAAATATACAATGTATATTTAAAGTAAATGAAATAATATATGGAAATTAACGGTTAGACTTGGCCACACGTTCGAGTTCGTCTTTCTTTTTGATAGCATAAGAATTCGATGATCCCTGTAAAAACAAAAATATTTAAATGACTCAATATTATACTATTCAAAAAATTAAATTTAACAAGGTATAATTGTAACTGACCTTAGCAGCATTGATCAATTCATCAGCTAAACATTCAGCAATTGTTTTGATATTTCTAAACGCAGCTTCTCGGGATCCCGTACACAATAACCAAATGGCTTGGTTAACACGTCTCAATGGGGAAACATCAACAGCTTGACGCCTGACTGTACCGGCCCTACCAATACGTGTGGAGTCTTCTCTGGGTCCACTGTTAATGATGGCTTTAACGAGTACTTGCAATGGATTTTCACCGGACAACAAGTAGATTATTTCAAAAGCGTGTTTAACAATGCGAACGGCCATCAGTTTCTTTCCGTTATTACGTCCATGCATCATCAAAGAGTTGGTCAAACGCTCAACGATAGGGCATTGAGCTTTACGGAAACGTTTAGCAGCATAACGACCAGCAGAGTGAGGAACATATTTGGCGTATTTCTCTTTGACAGCAATGTAATCCTATAACATTTAAATATTCCAATTACTACGATCTTTAGGGTTTACTCAGATATACTTTAAATGTGAATGGTATCAAAATTAATAATATAAAAATATTAATTAAAATTTAGAAGGAAGTTATTAAATTTGAATTAGACATACTTGCAAAGACATATCAGAAACTTCTACATCATCACAACTCCATCTGCCAAACAACTTCACTTCTGGTAATTCAGCTGCAATTTGTGTTGGTGCTGAATCTACATTAACTGTAGCTCCAATATCTCCCCAGTCTTCGTCAGCCATGATGATTCTAAAAATAAATACATAACTTATAACTAAATAAAACTTTATTAAGTGTCAAGGTAACAAAATAATCTCTTGTTTCTCTAAATGTATTGGTGTATTTAGTCAACCAAAATTCAATAAGAACATTATTAATACCTACAACTCCCCATTTAGAATAAAATGTGATAATCACAGTCCTGCAGCAAAATTGAGAAAATAATGTCTCTTTAAACTACCTTTAAAGTTATAGATTATCTTCAAATCAACCAATGCCAACAATAGATAAACAAAGCAAATACCTGAACAGAATCGCATCCGATAGAAATCGTACCAAATACAATTATACAATGTTATTTTAAACGATTGGCTGGACGCGAATAATTAAGCGTAAACAAGATTAATAAACGAATATATAATGTGTAGGGAAAAGGTACTACTACCTCGTAGTGAAAAACCTTAACGAAATACCTACTAGGGAAACAGTTGATTGAAAATCGATGGAACAAATCCAACGAAATCACTAGATTTTATGGAGCAACAATAAC